TCAAGCAAGCAGGAGTATATGGTGGTTGGAGCATTTGTCAGGTCTTTTCTGCTGACTTGGAGCAATGACTTGGATGAGTCATTACACGTCTCTGTGCCTCAGTTTCCTTATCTGTAAAATGGGGATGATAGTAACTTCCCTTCCTCAGAGGGGTGTTGTGAGACTTAATGGAAGTGCTTTGAGATCACACGATGAAAGAATGCTGCAACAGAAGGGTTCTGAAATGTAAATAAGTTCTCTAAAAGCAACCAAGCTAAGATGCACACCTTCCACAAATACCTTGCGGTTTAGAGTCCTGAGAAAGTAAGTGAGAGAGAGAACTCAGTCACAAAACCCTTCCCCACAATTCTTTGCACTATGAATTCTCAGCACTGTGGACCTTATTCTGGGACATAACCCACCATCAAGCTTTACACAGAACTCCCCACTGAGCTAAAACAATGATGCAGAAGGACTCTGCAGGGCACAGGACTGTATCAGGGGACATGCCTACCTAAACCACCATCCTATGGACCACACCCATAAGGGGTATGATCTGTGGATTGGGGCATGGTTCAGTCTCCTGAACCACTAACACACTTGCTGCCGAAAGCAGTAAGCGTTGGCAAGTGGATGGTGGGTGTGTGTGTTGGTTCTGCTCAGTGGGAAAGCACGTCCCATCTCATGGCTCTGTGCACTGGGGCTACCTGTGAAATCCCACCCTGAGCAGAATTATCCCTGTAGCAGAGAATACACTGGGTTGGGGCTTTGCCTCCTGTCACGATCCCAGCCACATCAGGGTAGAGCAGAGGTGGGCAAACTACAGCCCATGGGCCACATCCAGCCCACGGGACCATCCTGCCCGGCCCCTGAGCTCCTGGCCTGGGAGGCTAATCCCCCGGCCCCTCCCCTGCTGTTCCCCATCCCGCGCAGTTACGCTGCTGCACGGGCAGCGGAGCTGCGAGCTCCTGCCGCTCTGAGCAGCATGGTAAGCGGGCAGCAGCAGCAGCGCACACAGCGCTGAGAGGATTGGGTAGAGGTTCCCGGGGGGGCAGTCAGGGGACAGGGGGAGGTTGGATAGGGGGTAGGATCCTGGGGGGGGTGGTCCCAGGAGGGGGCGGTCAGGGGACAAGGAACAGGGGGGTTGGCTGGGTCGGGGGCTCTGAGGGGGACAGTCAGGGGGCGGGAAGTGGGAGGGGGCAAATAGGGGGAGGGGACGGGGGCCAGGCTGTTTGGGGAGGCACAGCCTTCCCTACCCGGCCCTCCATACAGTTTCGCACCCCGATGCGGCCCTCGGGCCAAAACATTTGCCCACCCCTAGGGTAGAGGTTATAATATATTGCATTCCAAAGCCAAAAACATTTTTTAAAAGGATTACAATTGAGTAAGTGTCACATTCCCCCTAAAAACATGGAAATAAGTTACGGGACAACTCTTAATAGGTTCCCCAATGCCCACATGACACATTTTTCACCAAAGATAACAGACTCTTCATCTTCACAAGGAACTTCCTTTGGCCTCCAACAGATCAGGAAACAAACACTAATTTCCCTCACAGTGTAACAAACAATCTCATCACCACCTCAGCAAACATTCAGCATTGACACTTGTGCAGAGGTTATGTGCATGGCATACGTTTGAAGTCATAATTAAGGTTGGGTGTCCAACCGTGAAAGACGTGTGTAACGTTTTGACTCTACAATAGTTACTTCAGTTCCTCCTGCACCAGCACTCACAACCCACAGCCTCCAAACGCTACAGCTGCCAAGGCCCCAGTCCCAGTGCCTGCTGCTTCTCCTTATTTCCCCCTGTCTGAAAAGGATGCTTCATCACATCCACATTGAATCCACCAGAGGACTGCACTGTGCGCCTCTGCCCTGATTTCAGGATCACAGTCTGGGTGGAAAAGGTCCATGCTTCAAAAGTGCCAGCCACTGCTACACGTTGCTCGCTACCATTGCATGGCTGGGCAGAGTGAAAGCATTCACACCAAACTATCTTTAGGCTGGGGAAGGTGCACTTAGTTGGGAGTCAGGAGAGTTAGTTTAAATCTCACCTCTTCCACTCACTTGCTGTTTACATTTCTGTTCACTTCATACCTCCTTACTGAGCAAGGCGTCATACCCTGACCTGGAGCCAGGCAAGTTACATTTCCCCATCTTAGAAACAAGTAAGAGGTCGCATGGGGTCACTTGTGACGGAATGGAGAACAGGACAGTGTATGACAAATCTCTGGGCTTGGCTATCCTGTCTGTAACCACTGCCGTAGTCATCAGACCACATTTCCTACACAGAGCCAGGAAGAGGACCCAGGAGTCCTGATCCCCAACTTTCTATGGCTGTCTAGCCAGTAGTGGTGTAATCCTTTGGTCAAGAGTGTGTTGCAAACCTCTCTAATATCTACTCCACATAAAGGATAACCTTTAGCTCAAATGGTGGAGGTCTGGGCTGTGGAACTGAATATCTAGGGTCCAAAGCCTGCTGACAGCCTGCACGAAGAATCCTTATGGTCACACATGCCACAATTTATTTTTCCATTTTTCTTTTTAAGAACCTCTTATTTCATTCATATAATGAGAAAATAGCCTTAAATGGGTGTTATACTTAAAACCCATTATAATCTGTCACTCAGGGTGCAACAGGCAACAAAACCCCAGTGTTCCACATTTCATACATTTTGATTGCTTGTGTCACACACAGGCAGGTCTGGAGACTGAGAAACTCAATGGCTGTTATGACATGGCCTCTGTCTCCTCTGAGAGCAACCTGGATCTTTTCTTCCACTGAAAACAATGGGAAACTTCTTTACTAGGGGCAGCCCCCTGCACACAGGAGCAATGGAAGCTGGCATCCCCACAAGGAAATACTGTGGGGGCTGATCTATGTTTCTGCACCTGCGTGTCACTCCCTCTCCCTTGCACGCATGCACTGGAGGATGGAGGCAAGAGTGGGACCCAGAGAGACCAGAGTGGCTGCTGCAGTGGACCTCACCCCTCCATTCAAAACATACTTCCTAGCCTTTGTCTGCACTCCCTGTGAAATAGTAGCCATCTTTACTGAAGGCATGAGAAGCCTCAATCCCATAGGGTAGCTTCAGCCCTGTTTGAAGTTTTGGGAAATGATGGCCACTTAGAGGAAGGAAAAATTGTGAACACAAAGGAAAAAGCAGAGCGAAAATCATACGTAACTTTGCTTCATTGCAACATAATTTCTTCTTATGTACATTCTTCGCTAGCTGGCAATGAGTTTCAACTGCACAATGTATGAATAACAGTCTAGGCATTTGTTAGCAATAGAGCATTAAAAAAAGGCAAGGAAGGCAAAAAAAGGTCCCTTTTTTGTTACATCTGATATTTAATAGATGTCTGAAATCAGACAGACTGCTGATGAGTTTTAGGTAACTGTAAAGATGAATCAGCTAGTCTAAAAACTATCCGAGTTGCAGGAGGTATAACTCAAATGAACTAAAAATACAGAGAAATGTTGAAACTGATTATTTTATTCTGCTCAAACTCTCTGTGATTGACACACGTATTTATTTTGCTTACATGGTATTTAGTTTGCTGAAGGGGCGGTGGGGATAACATTATGGGTATTTTTCCAGAGAGACCCGTGTTTATTTAGGTTGGCAGCAGGAAAAGATGTTTTTAAAGCTACATAAATGCCCTGCCACCTGCGGTAAGCTGCTTGTTTTGCGACAGAACAGTCCTAAATGCTGGATGAGAGCTGGAAAATTTAATTAAAACTCACTTCAAAACAAACGCGTCCTGCAAGCATCTCAGGAAATCTATAGGTTCATCATTAAATTCGATAGCAAGTTTATAAAAATCCAAAGACAAAACCAAAAAAATACATCTCAAATACGCATGAGCGCACACACAAAAGAACACCTCCAGTTATTCAGATTCTCTTGGACCTTGCTCACTGTGGCAAGGCCCCTGGAGTAAGGCAAACATGAACGACCATCTGTTATTTTTGTCTGCAAAGCAGTGACTTCCCCCTGATGAATCTTTGATAGCAGACAAGGAATGGCAGCAACTGCTCTGGCAGAAAGTGACAGCCAGCAGCCCCGGTCTCATTCCTCTTTTCACTCATCCTGCATGTTAAATGACTGCTTCAAACCCAGGAGTAGCTCTTTACAGATTAAAATTGAATATCCCTTTTCTGCGCTCTCATTTAAATTACAGCAAATGAAGGCAAGTGTCAGGGAGCAAGTGAAGGGAAAATAAGAAAGAGAGAGAGAGAATATCGGAGAATGAGGAACCCCGGAGGGAGCATTCACAGTGCCAAAGAGATACTCATTTTCTAGCACCATCTGTCAGGAGCCACTTGGAGCTTTTTCTTTCTTTCATTTTTTCTCTCTTTTCTTCTTGTTCCCCTCCCCACAATCCTTACCTTGCTTGTGGGAAACATCAGTAGGTAAAACCCTCTGGAACTAAAAGAATTGTGGATTGGATTTGCTTAAAGTGACATTTTATTTTAGGGCTTGATCCGCCTCCCACTGAAGGCAATGAAAAGACTCTCATTGACTTCATCAGGAATCAGATCAGGCCCTTCAGTATCCATTGTTCAACGTCAGCTTCTATATTAATGATTTGTGCTGCTTTCTTGAAATGCTTACTCTGGCAAACAAGCCTCTGGAGATGTGCCTGCTGACTCCAGACACCCAGGCCTATGTTTGCCCACAAGGCCCAGATTGGGTTGGCAATGAAATTACTGATCCCTCTCTATCTGACTGCTCGAGAATGGCAAACAGACCACCTGAGAAGTGGAACTTTTGCAAAAAGAGGTGGTCACCTGGGATTGTTCTGAATCCAGTCTATATGTTTTTGTTTAAAGAAATCCCACACACTATCTGTCAGCAGACTCGCAGCACTTTCACCATGTCAGATTTCCAGGGAAGGTTGCCTTGTGAGCCACAAAACAGCAATATTAACTTGAAATTCATCCTGAAAATTTGTGTTGGTGACAGGGGACTTAGAAGACATTGTTTCATACAAAAATTTGTATTCATGAGTTACCTTAATATTTGGGTCTCAATCCTGCTCCCACTGACAAAAGAAATCTCTACTTTGAAGGTTCAGAATCAGACTCTTCCAAACACAGGATGTAAAGTGGTACCTACAGACAAGTGCATACATATCACAAACTATAGTAAGTGCATAGACATTGGCCTTCAAAGCTTCACTCACATGTTCACTTAAGAACAAGTAATTCTTTAAGTTGCAGGAAAAAATTACATTACACAAAGGTCATTATGGCAGAAGAGTAGTTTTTGGTTGGGTCTATTTTCACAATGATTATTCCAGACCAGTGTAAATACATATGACTATTACAGCACTTGCTATGGCATGTGGCAGTAGGTATTAAGTGGTCATGGGGGAGGATTACTCTAATCATGAATGCTTTCTGTGTTTAGTTTCTCTCTTTTTGTGATTTCATTTTGTTTGATCGACAGCCCCAAAGAATGACCCATATGTTCTGTTTGTTGTCAGTAGCAAGGGCCATGCGGTCAACAGGATTCCAAACCACAGAACCCCGTATTGTCAGATCTCAGAGTTCAGACCTCAGGAGTCAGGCCCCAAAATCAACAGATTGAGTTAAATAATACATTTCACCTTTTTAGTCACCTTCTAGTGCTGGAGCACTTAGGGTTTACTTACACTTGAAACGCTACAGCAACACAGCTGGGCTGCTATAGCGCTTCAGTGTAGACCAATGGGAGAGTTCTCCTATCGGCACAGGTAATCCACCTCCCTGAGTAGTGGTAACTAGGTTGACAGAAGAATTCTTCCATCAACCTAGCATGGAGATTTAGTTCAGCTTCACTATGCTGCTCAGGGGTGGAGATTTTTCACACCCTTGACCAACGTAGTTAAACTGACTTAATTTTCTAGTGTAGACCAGGCCTTAGGCTTCCCGTTTTCAAGCTTTTCTCCACACCATTCGGGCGAGAAAAAATATTTTAGATTGAAAGCTGAGATTCTTAGGCAGGAGTCCTAGCTCCTGGAATCAGGTTTTTAAGACAAACTTCAGATATCGGAAGACTCATGATAAAGTTGTAACACACAACACTGAGTATTCCACCTGGGTGAATCAAACCTGATCTTGAAGGGGCAAGAGGGAACCTCAGTCATTATGCTTCGTAGAGATACCACTGTATTCATATCTTTAATCATCACATTCTCAGGTATTGTGGTGCTGTGGTGTATTGGCAATTCAATTCTCTGTTCTTTTCATAGGAGCTTTTTTTAAAAGATATTTTTTCCTCCAGGAGCATTATTATTATAGGCAATAATGACTCCAGTGTTGGAGCTAGTCAATCTATTTTGCCTGGTCGTTCAACCTGTTGTCCATTGTTTGGTTCTATTGATCCTAGCTATAAGCCCACAGTAACTGTCTACTTCTCCAGATCTTCCACATCAGTCTCCCCACACCACCAGGAGGACTCCTTTGAGGAACAGGAGATGAGGCTGGATAGCCATCTGACTTGGATGGTTTAGACACCACAAATTCTGCATCTTGGCAGGGGGTTAGACTAGATGACCCTTGCAGTCCCTCCTAACCCTGTGGTTCTGGCACTTCCCTGCTTTCTCTGGATATTTAAATTCAATCTAAGGGCAGTCCTCAAAGTATGTGCTTTTCCTGCAGCACGGAGCTAGGAACTCTGGTGTCTGAGGTTGCTAGGTGCTTGGTATAAATACATTTTTTAAAAGCTTATCAGCCCAATAAGTGTTAGATCCTGCCCTCCACTGTGCCACCTTGCCCAGCCCCATGCAAGCAGCACAGCATGATCTATTGTTTAGTGTTTAAGGGCTATATTCAGTCCCAGTTTTGGCAAGGGTGTAAGAAGGTGCAACTTCCATTGAAGGAGACTACTTACACCAAGACTGTTGGGGGGGGAGGGAGATCCTAGCTGCCTTTCTGGCCAGTGCCACTCAAGAGAGCATGGTCTTCTGACTATACTGTATGTACAGACATCTCTCTGGCCCTAGAAGACAAATTTCTTTGGCTATGTCTTCTCCGGAGCGAGAACCACCCACTGCTGGGGCTCCATGAGCATCCAGCATGGAAGGGGAGGGGGGTTTTCAGGCACCTAGTACCACCACCACTCTGCTCTGCATGGAGTTGCAGCATTCAAGGTCTCTGTGCCATGGGTTCTGGCATGGGTTCTCTCCTAATTTTGGCAGGGGGTTGCCTCAATAGTCTCCCACATTTGTTTCTTCATTGACTTTCACTGCACTTTTGTGAGGCTCATGAGCTTTCATCTTTAGTAAAAACTGAGCAAGTTTGAATAGCTAGCACTCAGGGGAAAAACAGAGACATCTAGCTTTTTACTCTCAGTGAGCAATAAAAGATCTACCTATGGGTAGATTTTAATTTATCCAAGTTCAGCAAGGTACTTAAACACATGCATAACTTTAAGCACCTGAAGAGTCTCATTGACTTCAGTGGAACCATTCAGGTGCTCAGAGCTAACTACAGGCTAAATTGGGTCTAAATGAGGGACTGAAAGTATTGCTAGAACCATACATATCTGTAAGAGCTTCTCCTGGCAGGTCTAGGATCCATATCCCTGTTAACTAGAGCAGGTCAAAAATGCGGTGGTGAGGTTGGGGGGGGGGTTGCACAGAAAAAAAAGTTTACGCATTTTCCTTTTAATATTATTTTAGAAAATTTCAGAACACACACTTCAAAGTTCTTTTCACTATTAAAAAAAGGGGACACCCACTCTTCTAGTTGGTCAAGAAGTGGGGACATTTTTATATAATTTCAACCAAAGCTGTTCTCAGCATCTGAACCAGCTGGGACATAACACAATGCGGGAAAGTGTCCAAAATGTTTGACACTGATTGTCAATGTGCATAAAATAAAATCATGTGTCAGAAACTACACTAGAAGTGATTAAGCAACTGGACTGACAACACTGGCCAAACTCTACTCTTATTTACAAGAAATCGGGTCACCTCTTCGTAAGTCTTTTTTCCTTCCTCTTTCTTCTTTTATACTTATCTTGAATAATTTTTCAAATACCTACTTTTGTGTACCTGCTCCTTTTTGCCGAACACCATCTTTTTCTCATCCCTTCTCCTGTAATTCTCTCGTCTCTTGCCCTTCTTTTTTTTGTTCTGGCTCCTGCTGTTTTGGCCTCTTTCCATATTTTTACTTTAGCTCAGTTTATTTCTTTATCTGTTTACTCACCATTTATCCTTCACATCCAGATTCTCGTCTCCAGATGTGGACCTTAATACTGCCCCCACTCCTGCCATTCATCTCAGCCTGCACATGCTATGCAGGGACTCTCTTTTTGCAAGGCTTGTGCCTGAAGCTACTGCTGTTGCCAACTCTTTACTGCTTCTTTCCTCTCCCCAGACTCCTCAAAGAGCAGGGAAAGCATTCCATGGTGCTACCTGTGAGAAGAGAAAAGGAAGCCACCTAAATCAGTAATGATCAGTGTTCATGTACAGGTTTCAGAGTAACAGCCGTGTTAGTCTGTATTTGCAAAAAGAAAAGGAGTACTTGTGGCACCTTAGTTAGTTAGTCTCTAAGGTGCCACAAGTACTCCTTTTCTTTTTGTTCATGTACAAGCAGCTAAGCACTGAACACAAGGAATCTAATTTTCTTCTCACCCACGCATTGTTTTACACTCGTGTAATTCCTTTGAACTCTGTGGAGTTACTCCTCATTTAGTCTAGTGTAAGAGAAAAATAGGGGTATGTCTACACTATGAAATTAAGTCGATTTTATAGAAGTCGATTTTTAGAAATCGATTTTATACGGTCAGTTGTGTATGTCCCCACTAAGCGCATTAAGTCAGGGGAGCGTGTCCTTAATACCATGGCTAACGTTGACTTACATAGCGGTGCACTGTGGGTAGCTATCCCACAGTTCCCGCAGTCTCTGTTGCCCACTGGCGCCCAATGCCTGATGGAGCAAAAACATTGTCAAGGGTGGTTCTGAGTACGTCATCAGTCGCCCCACCCTCCCTCCCTCCGTGAAAGCAATGGCAGACAATCATTTCGCGCCTTTTTTCCTGGTTTACCCGTGCAGACGCCATACCACGGCAAGCATAGAGCCCGCTCAGCTCACCATTGCTGTGCCAATTGGGACATTATGGCAGCAGTGGGGCTGGTTGATACAGTAGAACGCCAATTCTGGGCCTGGCAAACAAGCACAGACTGGTAGGACTGCATAGTGTTGCAGGTATGGGAAGAGTCACAGTGGCTGTGAAACTTTTGCATGTGTAAGGACACTTTCCTTGAACTTTGTGAGTTGCTTTCCCCCACCCTGAAGCACAGGAATACCAAGATGAGAGCTGCCCTGACAGTTAAGAAGTGAGTGGCAAAAGCCCTGTGAAAGCTTGCAATGCCTGACTGCTACCGGTCAGTCGGGAACCAATTTGGAGTGAGCAAATCTACTGCTGGGACTGCTGTGATCCCAGTAGCCAATGCAATCACTGATGTTCTGCTATCTGGGGCAGTGACTCTGGGAAATGTACAAGTTATAGTGGATGGCTTTGCTGAAATGGGGTTCCCTAACTGTGGTGGGGCAATAGACGGAATGCATATCTCTATCTTGGCACAGGACCATGTTATCAACCAGTACACAAACTGCCAGGGGTACTTCTCAATGGTGCTGCAAACACTGGTGGATCACAAGGTACGTTTCACCGACATCAACGTGTGATGGCTGTGAAAGGTGAATGACGCTCGCATCTTTAGGAACTCCAGCCTGTTCGAGCAGTTGCAAGAAGGGACTTATTTCCCAGACCAGAAAATTACTGTTGGGGATGTTGAAATTCCAATAGTTACCCTTGGGGACCCAGCCTACCCCTTGTTCCCATGGCTCATGAAGCCGTACACAGGCAACCTGGACAGTAGTAAGGAGCAGTTCAGCTATGGGCTGAGCAAGTGCAGAATGGTGGTAGAATGTGCCTTTGGAAGTTTAAAAGCTCGCTGGCACTGTTTGCTGACTAGTTAGACCTCAGCACAACCAACATTCTCATTGTTATTGCTGCTTGCTGTGTGCTCCATAATATCTGTGAGAGTAAGGGGGAGATTGAGGCAAATTGCCTGGCGGCTGATTTTGAGCAGCCAGACACTAGGGCGATTAGAAGATCACAGCTAGGCATGCTGCACATCAGAGAGGCTTTGAAAAACAGTTTCATGACTGGCCAGGCTACGATGTGACAGTTGTGTGTGTTTCTCCTTGCTGCAAACCCACCCCCTTTGTTGATTTTAATTCTCTATAAACCAACCACCCTCCCGCCTTCGATCACAGCTGGCAAAGGAAATAAAGTCACTATCATTTTGAAACCATTCATTCTTTCTTTATTAATTTTTAAAAAGTGAGATAACTGACAAGGTAGCCCGGGTGGGGTGGGGTGCGGGAGGAGGGAAGGACAAAGCCACATTACAAATCAAAACTGTTTGAATGACAGCCTTCTGTTGCTTGGGCCATCCTCTGGAGTGGTGTGGCTGGGTGCGCGGAGCCTCCCCCCTGTGTTCTTGGGCATCACCTTCTAATCTGCGATAACCTCAGGGACGGAGATGATACAGGGAGCATAGAAACATTTGCACCTGGGCGGAGATAAAAAGGGAGAGTAAAATTTAAGATGATACAATTCTGAGAACAAAAAGGAGGCTCTTTCACAGTGAATCAAGCAATTCACAGCAGACAGCACATGTGCTTTAGGTACAAGGTCGCATTTTGCCTTTTATATTGAGCGCCTGCTCGTATGGTGACACATCACAAACGGCTGGGCAACAGAATTCAGTTTCCAGGTAGCCATAGTAAGCCAAAGGGTATGCAGAGTTGGCTTCTTACGCCTTCATAACATGTGGGAATGGTTTCAAACTGCAGCACCCTCCTTTCCCATAGCAAGCAATGCTGGTTGGGTTTCACATTTAAAAGGAGGGGCTGCGGTTTTGGGGGGATGTGCAGCACACCCCTCCCCCAACCCCAGGATGTCCCAGGAGGATTCCCTCTCCATCCCCAGACACGTTAGCAGACTTTTCCAGTAGCTGTACTGGCAGAAAATGCATCCCAATTCTTCAGGGCAAATCAAATATTAAACACAATTGCTTTTAACCCCTGTACTGTAGTTACAAATGTGCACTCACCAGAGCTGCCTTCTCTGGCTTCAGGATGGGGATCCCATCTTGGGAGGGTTTTGGCTCCAGGGTGATGAAAAGGTCCTGGTTGCTGGGGTGAATGGATTCATCGCTTGCCTGCTATGCATTCTCCTCCTCCTCATCCACAAAATCCTCCTCCCTGTTACGTGAGACTCCCACCTTGCAGGTGTCCACGGACACTGGTGGGGTAGTGGTGGGGTCCCCCCCTAGAATGCCATGCAGCTGATCGTAGAAGCAGCATATATGGGCCTCTGACCCGAAGCAACAGTTTGCCTCCTTTGTCTTTTGGTAGGCTTGCCTGAGCTCCTTAACTTTTGCGCAGCACTGCTGTGTGTCCCTGTTGTAGCCTCTCTCCACCATGCCCTGTGCGATTTTGGCATATATATATTAGCATTTCTTCTTTTTGATCGGAGATTCTTCTCTCCATACATCAATCAGACCCAGTGTCTCCCTTTCGGTCCATGCTGGAGCTCGTTTGCGATTCTGGGGGGACTGCTGAGCACGCCACGCTGACCAAAACAGGAAATGAAGTTCAAAATTTCCCGGGACTTTTCCTGTGTACCTGGCTAGTGCATCGGACTTCAAAATGCTGTCACATTGTAGTACTCTGGGATAGCTCCCAGAGGCCAATACTGTCTAATTGGGTCTGCACTACCCCAAATTCGACCCAGCAAGGTCAAATTTAGCGCTACTCCCCTCACCAGGGAGGTACAGAAGTTGATTTTAAGAGCCCTTTAGGTCGACAGAAAGGGGTTGGTTGTGTAGACGCATTCATTTTAAAATCGACCTAACACGGCTAAATTCGACCTAACCCCATAGTTTAGACAGGGCCTACTCCTACATATCCCTTCCTCTGCAGGTACATTCGGGGAATTTAAATTGCATCTCATGTGTAGGAATCCTGGAGCAATCCAGAAAAAGCACCACAACCTGGGAATTAAAAGAAAATCCATACAAATTGATAGCTCAGCTATCAACACTTCTCAGTCTTGACCACTGTCTGGGCTCCTTAAGCAGAAACTGATGACTGTGCAGACTTCATTAAAATATTTAAGGAACTGATTTAAAAATCATTCATATCTAAAATGTATTTTCATATATCTCTCACACACACACACACACACACACATACACACACACCTTTGTTTAGATTGCGCATCTCAATGTAAGCATGGGAATAGACAGATTGGATTGATCCAGAAGCCTTTGCACAAGTGTTGTAACAGGCTGCCTAGTTCCTTCTGGTGTCCCACTCTATTAGCCCTGCAGGCAATGGAAGATGTCAATTGATTTCTGATGATTCACTATAGTGGGAGTAGAGGCTGTAGCTAATTAACTCAACCAGGAATACATGGCAGGTAGGAGTGGCACAGGATGAAATCTATACTCTGGGGTCAGTAATCTTAAAAAGGAAGCCTGGACGCAAGTAGGGCCAGAGAGAAGGCTTGGGCTGGAGTTCATGTTGTGTGAATTTCTTCTAAAACCAAACCGCAGGAAGGGGACAAGTTCACACACAGCATCTGTCTACTGCATTTTAAAATGGGGAAATGCCACCTGCTCACATGTTGTTACAAATGTCACAATCAAAGTGCCTTTGAAATAGTACCCTCTCTTGCAATTGATATAATCACTGATGTAATCAATGTATTACATACTATATTTGCAAAGAGCAAGAGCCAACCTTTACTTTGTCCGAATGATTTTAGTTTTTAATTAAGAAAGAGCAAAAGCAGAGAATCCAAACAGAGATGAGTCAAAACCATATTATTAATTATTATTAATAATAACCATCCCCCAGCATTGGTTTGGATAAAGTAAAACCTGTCTCTGAACCATGGCTGGTTTTGGATTTGCAAAGTTAAAGACTGAACTGATGTGGGTTTGCAAAACAAATTGAAACCACCCAGCTTGACTAAAAGAAAAGGAGTACTTGTGGCACCTTAGAGACTAACAAATTTATTTGAGCATAAGCTTTCGTGAGCTATAGCTCACTTCATCGGAACAGCTTGACTGTTATAGAAATTGGACAGAGCTCAAATTTTTTAACCAAAGCCACAGGTGAATGCACTGGGTGAAATTCAAAGTACTGCTCATCATCTATAAGTGCAGGATTACAGCCACAGGCTAACACTTACTCATCTGTGTGGTTTGGGGGCACTGCCCCTTAAACTGCAAGCCTCGGGCCAGCACAGAATTTGCCCACACACATGGCCCCATTGACCTGACTGAAGCTGCTTCTCCAAATATAGAAATCAAACTACACCTATGGTGAGTAG